ATATGTCAGAATCAAAAACTTCAAAAGAAAATAATAATCTATCCAGTTAACTATATAAAAATATAAAATGTTTATTTATTGAAAGATAAAAAGTTTCAAAATTACCTGTAAGAGGGAAAGTTATTCATAACACATGTAAGAAATAAAAATTAATATATTTAATTTGTAAAGAGCTCTTTCAAATTTAGAAGGAAAAAACCAACTCCTAATTTGAAATTGGAAAAAGTTCATGGATAAATGAATAAAGTAATTAATAGGATAAAAATATTAATGATACATTAACAATTTAAATACAAAAGATTTGTTTTTCTTCTAGATCACTAAAATTTAATACCATGGATAATATCCAGTGTTGTAACGAGTGGTGGAAAACATTCCTACTATACAATGTTTGGAACAAATATAAATGGATCCAGTATTTTTGAAAGAGAATATAGTAATACATAAGAAGATTTTCGTGGAGCTTCATTTACACAGAAATTCTGCTTCTAGATTTTTAAGCTCAGGAAATAATTATACAGTGTAAAATGTTTTATGGATTGGAATACACATTATGGCAGTAGTAATAATATGAAAAATAAAAATTATTTAAAATATCATTAATATGCTATTGATTCAACAAATACTTTTTTATATAGTTTTTAAAAGGAATAAGGGAAAGCTCTACCGTGTTTCCCTGAAAATAAGACAGGTTCTTATATTTACTTTTCCTCAAGAAGACACCCTAGGGCTTATTTTCAGGGGATGTGTTATTTTCCCCTCAAAGCCTCAGCTTGCAGCACGCACAGGATGGCCGGGACCTGACAGGAGGAGGTGACCTTGTTGGTGGGGCTGCCTGCACCTTTCCCATCACCTCTGGGATAGTAGCTGTCACTATGGGGCAGATGAGAAGGGCTGCTCGTCTTCTTTACCACTCTGCCAGGAAATGCATGGGTTGTGCAGAGACACTGAGTAACCACGCCCATTACTGTGTCTTATTTTCCTGGTAGGGCTTAGAAAGCACAAATGCTTAGAAATCCTGCTAGGACTTATTTTATGAGTAGGTCTTATTTTGGGGGAAACATGGTATGGGAGAGGCTCATAATATATTAAGTAGAAAACATACATGGCTGAACAGCATTTAAATATATATGATATGATCCCTTTATATATGAAAATATACATTTCATTATCTACAGCTATATATATTATATAATATAGTCACCAAAATTTTTATCTTCTTTAAATATTTTTTGACCATTTTGATTCCTAAAAATGAGAAAGATACTATCATAATTAGAAAAACAAAAATATTTCTATTTTGAAAGATCAATAATAAATTTAATTTCTCTCTTGTTTATGTTGGGTTTAATTGCATACATACAAATATTTTAAGACATAAGATGTATGAATTAAAATATAACTCAGATTGCAAAGATGTGGAAACAACCCAAGTGCTCATCAATACATAAGTGAATTAATAAAATGTGGCATATGTATTCCATGGAGTACTACTCAGCCACTAAAAAAATGGTGAACTAATACCTCTTGTATTAACCTGGAGGGAACTGCAGACCATTCTTTTAAGTGAAGTAACACAAGAATGGGAAAACATAACATCACATGTACTCACCATTAAATTGAAACTAATTGATCAACATTTATGTTCACATATGGAAATAACATTCATTGGAAATCAAGCAGGTAGAAGGGGGAGGGAGAATGGGTAAAATCACACCTAATGGGTACAATGCACACTACCTGGGGGATGGACACATTTAAAGCTTTGACTCAAATGGTACAAAAGCTATTTATGTAATCAAAACATTTGTAGCCCTTTATATTATGAAATAAAAATAAAATAAACAAATATAACTCAGATTCTGAGGGGTTGGCATAATATTTATCTCTATACTGTTTATATTTCAGTGTTAAAAATTTATGCTTAAATATTTCACGAAACTTCAAATGCTTTTATAAACCTATCCTAAAACTTCTTTCACCCAGCACTGTCATTTTGTTAGTACCATAACCACATAAATGATGGAGGCAGAAAATGTTCTTGCTTTTCATGTCTTAGAGTTACTCTCAATCTCAATTTCTTCAAAACATAAAGTCTGCTTTGAAATTTTGACTTAAAAGAGTAAAATTGGTCAAGCCACTGTCACCCTTTACAGTCAAGGTAAAGCTTTTCTTTCATTGTCATTATTGTTTTAAATCATGCTGAACTCCAAAAACACTGTTATAAATGAAGATTGCCTTTTCTTTTATGTTAATAAACTAACTCCCAGATTTAGATCAGAGCATTTTTTTGGTGACAATGTGTATGTTTGGTGAGCATGTATGGATATGTGTGCATGTGTATGTGTTCTAGGTGTGGGTACATGCATGTGCTGTATATGCATGTGCATATACACATGTATGTTGTATATGCATGCATGCTTATATATTGTATGAAATATGTGTGTATGCTCAAATATATCTTACCTGTGTATGGCATACAAAGAGCAATATGTAATATTTACAGAGCATTTAAAGTGAAGCCAATATTTAGAGACCTTCCAATTTACAGATAGTACTGTAGATGATAAGAAAGTTTTAAACATATATAAGGTACTATTGCAGGTTCATTGTAAACATCAGAAGCATCTCTGAGGTCAAGTTTACAGGGTAATTACATTTCTGAAATGCAGGCATACAGGATTTTCATGGATACAAAGTGCTATGAGACTGAAGTCCACATTTTGATAAATGGATTTCATGCAAAATATATTTATTCTCAGATGTTAAAAATGAAAAATGATATGCTTGACTTTATACTATATCACCACAAAACGGTGTTCCTTCTAACTGCTTCATTTCTTCTCCAAACTGCAAAGTCAATTCAAAGTGCACATAACAAAAACATATGTTCATGGTTTAAAAAGTGGCTAAACTCAGTCCAAGAAGTAAAACATTGAAATTTTACAAATATCTTAGGTTTTCAACTCATTATCATTATCATTATTTACTCTCTTTTGGTTGTTTGGAAAATTTAGAAGTCTTACAGTGATATGGAATAACATACATCATTTATTGAAATCTCCCTTTTCTTCCATATTGCTTTTCTACATTTAATTATTTTTTATATTTTCTTCTTCCCATTTCTGTTGTAGTTTAGGTATAAAGAAGATTTAAAAAAATAAATATTTGTAGAATTTGTAAACTGAGTAAGTAATATCAAGATGGAATGTTTTTCTCTGATTCTTTTATATTTTCCTTTAGAATTATTGTCTTCATAGTTGAATCTATCTTTGAAAGGTAGTGGTGCTATTTTTTTAAGTAAGTGGAAGAAAAAGAGAGTATAACCTCAGTTAGGGAAATATTTATAAACTGGTATTGAATAAGATTCTACTTTACTGCCATGAATCATTTGCTTTGTCTGGGGTTTTTACACACACATAGAGAAATGTGGAGTAAAAAGCCAAGTATTAGAAAAAAAAAAGCAAAGCAAACTTTCTGTCAGGAATCAGCAATGTATAAAATGAAGGAAATAATCCAGACTTAATTAAAAGATGAATATCATTCAATATAAAGATGCATATTTTGATATGTAATTAGGTTGTATATTTTATTTTTCATTTTTGGATATTGGGGGGCTCACTACTTTGCCCAGGCTGGGCTTGATCTTGCAATTCTGCTGCCCCAGGCTCCAGAGTTGCTGGGACTACAGGCTCATGCCACCCAGCTGCAGAGTTTATATTTCTTGATTCTATGTGGAATGTATAAGAATTTAAGAATGTGTAAGAATTTAAGTTCATCCAAATCAAGAACTTCATATTGCAAGAGATATCTCTTAAGGATTGAAACAGCTAAAATATAAATGAGTTCTTCATAAATTACAAGTTTTATTTATGAAAATTACTAGACTGAGTTGCCTTAAACCCTTTCTGGAACAAGATGGGATATTAATAAATAAATTAATTCATTGACTACTTAACTCAGTAAACTTAAATCATGCTGAGATCTTAAGAGTTTATAATTTAAAAAATGTCCCCCACTATTTATTCACACACTCATACACATGCACACACAAATAAAGTCAGTTGTTATTTATGTGTACTCTTATGATTGTTCTGAAGGTGACATCAAAGAAGGGAGAAAATACCCCCAAGAGCAAAAGTTTTCTTAGGGAATTTGCCTTTTAGAAAGGATTTAGTCCATACCCATAACAAGAATATGCATTTGCAAACAGATCATTTGAGTCCTGAGTCTTTTTATTTAGTATTTACCATAAATAAGTCAAGTGGTTATATGCATAATAGTGATACTTGCAGGATGTAGAAAAGAGTAGTACTCAGTAGAAAAATAGGGAAGAATTAAGTATTAATCATTAGAGTATCAATATATTAGATAGGAATGGCATAGTTATGTGCCTATAAAAACATTATTTGCTTTGGTATAACAAAGAAATGATGAAGTAGATCAATCAGTAGCAAAACAGATTTAAAAAGAGATAATGACATGCCTACATATACGCATTTATAAAATTAATTTTCTTCTTGAACAATAAAACTTCTTAAAGAGCAAACTTCTTGTACAGTATTTTTTATGCTCTTTGGAAGAATATACCTTCACTTTCCCACCACCCTCATATGGCAAAACGCTATTATTGTGTTACTGACCTTGCTGAAACCAAACAGCAAACAGATAATTCAACTCGGTGGATTTCTACAAACTGACTGGATCCCTGGAATTACCTGGGATGGTTATTAAACATTTAAATGCCCGGTTTCCACATAGACCTATTGAACCTAAACCTCCACAGGAAAGTTCTTAAGATGAGGCAAGCTGTGCTAACATATGTTACAAAAAGTCACTTATTCTTTTATACCAGCTTGGTAATAACTACCTTCTTTTTTTAAGGGTTGGGATAAGGGCAACAATTCTGACCTGCTGTTATTTTTAATTGTTTAGTCCAATGTAGAATGGGAGAACATTTTTAAAGTTCTATGTTTTAAATGTCAGGGTAATGTACTTACTACAGTTTTCAGCTTTCCTATTGTCCCGGATTACTATTCTTTGGTTGATTGTGCTGAAGAGTGTTGTCCAATTAATGGTATGATAATAACACAGGTTGCTGTTGTCAGTAATATAGATGTTTCCCGCACTGATTTCCTTCAGGGACTGGAACTGCAGAGAGGTGATGCCCTGTTGCTTGAGGATAAGCAAGGAGAGGCCACTAAGGAGGGGGAGGGAGAAAACGGAACAATGAAATGCATTACTGAAGCAAAATAAGGATGCCACATCTTACTCCAAAAAGAATGTTAATGGAACATCAACAGAGACTGAATTCATAAGTCTGTGTTCAGAATGATACTTTTTTCTTTACATGCTGTATATTGTCATTTTTAAAAGTAATAATTTGATCCCCAAAAGGAAGATGTTCATTTCTTAGATTTATAAATATTGACAATATATCTCTATTTCTATGTATTTACCACTGACATATCTGCTCACTGCCTTCCCTCTCCCTGCCCCAATTTTAAGTTCTTTAATGACAAAATCCTATATTAAGACTAAATAAATGTTTTTAGGATGACTGTCAATCTACTCAATGTAAGACATTAATTCTACTGAAATTGTGCAATAGATTTCGACATGCTTTCAGAGGATAGATATTGCAGAAAGTAACTATAGACATTTAGCTCTAATTTATATCTCAGAAATCAAAGAATTATAATAGTTGAAAAATGCATTAGTAAGGTTAGGAGATATTAAAAATGGAAGAGAAAAATAAAATTAAACTAATATTTAAAAATATATACTCAGCTTGGGCAATTGGGGAGAAACTCTTTAACTTCCCTGTGTAAATCAAATATCATTTCAAGGAAATTGTTTTTATTTCAACATAGTTTACATTTCTGTAATTATTTTTCTTTTTCATTCCTTAAAGAATATAGTTCCTACATTTCTATTGACAGATGAACATTATTTTACATTTTGTAGATCAAAGCTCTCCCCTTTCATTTATAATTTTAAATATACTTTGCTGTTAATATTTACAATTGATTTTCATGTGGAGTGTATGTGTATTTGCATGGATACATATACAGAAAGACTAACATCTCAGTGGTAAAGACTGAGATGTAATTCATTCTCTCAAATTTTTTCTTTAATCATAAACACCTTGAGATATTGATTACAATGTCAGCACAATGTCTTGACTGATTTATAACATTTAATAATAAAAATTGTTTATATATAGTACGTTAATGGATCATAACTCTCAGGTATTCTTTTTTATGAAGTGTCTTTTCCCTTTACATTTCAAAACCTCTTACAGACATACCTGTTTTAGATTTTAATAGTAAAATTCAATGTACTTTCTATGAAACATTATTTAAAAATACTTAATGATAGTATCGATTTTAGACATCTTTTTTGAACTTAAGCAGACATTAAATAAAACCCTTCTTGTGTAAATTGACTTTTAATTTGTTAATGAATAAGAACTTTATGGAGATGAAATCAGAAAAAACTAAAATAAAAAGCAGTGGCTTGTAATTTATTGTTAACATGTGAATTAAAAATATTGACATTAGAATTTTAGAACAATATTCTTCTAAGCCTGGATTTTTCTGTTCCATTTATCAAATGGTGCTGCATGCAGAGTGGTGGACTAATACCTGAAACATCAACCCTAAGATATATAGTTCAAATGACAGCACCAGAGACAAAAACAGCCTTCTAGTACAAGAGCATCTGTATCACACACCTGAGCCATCACCAAATCACTCAACTCTATCTTTTAATTATGATAACATATGATCAAAAAGTTTTAATTTTATACCTCACATCATGTACTCCATACCTGTAAAACATGAATAGTGCCTTGAGTTGTAGATAGACTATATATATATATATATATATATATATATATTTCAAACTATATATTCTATAATACTTTATATATTCATAGAGGTATTTTCATTATTATTGGAATTAAGGGTAGAAACATGATTTCCCCAGAATTAGTAAATCAATAAGAGTGATGGTTTTGACTTAATGTACATGTGATATTCCTCTTGAAATCTGGGAGACCTGCAGGTTTAAACATGTACACCTACCTGTAAAGTACTCTTCCACCAATGGTCACCAGGTTAGAAAAAACACTGAAGTCAGTCATATTTGGGGGCCATGATTGAATGTTCAAGAAACCTACAAGTGAGAAAGGCAATAAAAATTATTCAGAATATCATTGTCTTAGTAATCGTGTTGATTTTTCTTGAAATATGATGAAAATGTGTTGAAAGAGGGTGGTAAGAAAAGGGCAGTGAGAATTTCTATCTTTGAAGCATTCCATTACATATATTCATTCTGTTGAGATTGAGTGCCTTACCCAATTAAACTGTGTATATTTAAATGACTCAATTTCACTTATTTTTATAGATGCAAGCATGTAGTCTAACTAGATAATGAGAAAAATGTAGTTTCAATTTCTCTGAATTCCTTAACCACTTCATCTGTGTATTTACAATGTCAAGATCTACCTTGCTTTCTAAGCCATTAACATACATATCTAACTTTCCTCATTAGATTATTATATTTTTTGATGGCAAATCCATGTCTGATTCATGTCTATGGACCCCATATCACCTACTAATAAAGCCTTGAACATATTAGGTGCTCAGTATATGCATGCTAAACAAATACTACATGTTACCCGTGCTCAATAGTACTTCTTATGACAAACTAAATAGAAAAACATCGGTTGAAAGATCAGCTGACACTTGCAAAAACACTAACATGAAAATTTCAAGGTTATTTATTTTGTAATTCCACATCATTCAAAATGTGCACAGAATCCAATTAGTAAGACCACCATTGTTCAAAATGACTTGTGGTTTTATAAACTACAATCTGCTTTTAAAATGAGTTGCTGATTCCAGTCTTACACATAAATGTTTTCAAGAAAACATCAAAGTTACATAGTTCATAGCACAACAATTGCATTTTGAACAATTACCTGTTATCTCTCTGACTGTCCGAAAGACATTCAGTTTCTCTGGATCTATGGCTTCAATTGCATTGTAAGGGTCCCTGGAAAAGCAAGAAGAGATACAGCCACATTTGAAATTTGATAAAGGAATGAACATATGAGAAATGTGATAAGTTATTTCATTCAAATTAAAATTTAATTAGCAGTAGGGAAGTTAGCAATTCATCATCCAAATTATTCTACGGTAGATGTGGAAGGAGATTAACAGGTGTTTTTAAGAAATTTTTGATGACATAAAATAGGAGTTCATCATCAAAGGCTGTTCTAGATCTACGAGAATGTTTCAGTTTTAACTATCCTGAAAAGAAAAAAAAAAAGCTCTACAGATAGCAAGCCCACGTATGAACCATTTTATTTTATTTTGTTTTAAAAGTTCATTCATAATTGGGAAGAATACAGTCTGGAAATTTATTATGGTGAGAACAATTTGCTTTGGGCTCCTCAAAGCAATCTAAATTCTTAACAGCATCTGTAATTCATAAGACAGAAGCAAAGAGATGAAACCAACTTTTTTTTTTTTGCTGTAGTTGTATACTTACCTATTTGTGAATTTTTATGATATTCATAATATTATATGAAAGCTACACTTCATATGGATTATTTATAACCATCTTGTTTTTTTCTGGCTTATTTATATTCACTTTTATAATACAGGAACTATTTCCTTCCATCTATAAGAATTATACTAATATTTGAAAACAAAATTTACAACAAATTTTACAAAGTTCAAAAATAATAAACTTTGGAGATTTCTAAAATATAATCTCCTGATTTTAAAGATATTTTTGTAATAAATATTATTGATATCTATATAGATCCCCAGTCTTTTCAAAAATAAACACAAAATATCTTTAAAATTACATGTTTCACAGGTTTTTTTCAGAAGTTTTCATCTTAAAAAGACTTTTTCAGGTAAAACATACTGATGAATACAAAATAACTGCATAATTAACATAAACATAATACTAAACCTTCTTCAGTGATTCAAGCAATACTTCCAGTTTTTTTAATGAATACATCTTTTTAAAGTTTTATTACATTAAAAGATGTGCCATCCTGGGCAAGTTGAGACCTCATGTTAATGTATACCCTTTACAGAAAGACTAAATTCTATTCATTGGCTACTTCTCAAATAGAGAGCAAACCTAAGAAAAATGAACTTACGTATTAAGAAGTATGCATCTACTCAGCAATCAAATGAGCTTTATTTTTGCTGTACACATCTGTTATTTTACCAGTCTATGAGAACCATTGTTTTGGTATGGGGAATAACTACCAGGATACAGTGATCCATTGTATGCAGTCCTAATAGAGCTATCAATCAAGGCTCTCCATAGTCCCCTGAAAACCAGATAGGTATGTGGCCTATATCCTGTTACAGCAGCCTTGATCTCTGGAACCACTTTGTATGAGCTTTCTGAACATGGTTCATCAGCATATTCTTCTTTATTATAAACCATCCATATCTTAAAAAAAAAAAAAAAATCTTTGCTTGATTAAATTACTGTTTCAAACTAAGAGGTGCAATCAATACAATGTACTACTAGTTTAACAAGGAGTGCTAGACAAGGCTCAAAACTAGATATTGCTGAGATTGGAGAAATACTATAAATATATTTCTCTATAATTCACACATAAACCATTGATTAGAATTTTTTCAGTGTCACATTAATATCTTTCAAGAGCTTAGTCTCAATTAAATGTTATGGCAAGCTTACTGTATTTATAGGTAAAAAATATATGGAATGAATAACTATGCTTTTGATGACTATGAAGCCAAAAAATGAAGTGTACCATGTGGGAAAATTCTTGTTGTCCTCACATGCAAAGACTTTTGTATGCAGAGAAAATATCAGCTCTATAGTAGGAGAATGAGTTTTCAACATTTATTCCTTGATGAAAAGCAGTATGTAGAACAGCTCAGGTCATATAATCAAATATCCTGGTTTTATTGAGAAAGACTCAAAAATTCAGGGCAAGCACACAATAATGGGGTCAGTCCACACCTTTACTGAGAATAATTCTGGGTTTCTAGGAATGAAATGAATTCTGGAATGTTAGCATGAAGCCCAGTGGACCACAGAAATTTTATATAGTTAATTTTAGAGATTCAGGACCCTCATAAAATAAGTTGACAGAATTCCACTCACCAACTTCAAAGTACCTCTTGGGCATTTCATCCTACAGCCACTTGACATCTATAGTACTTTAAAATCAAGAACTTTCCTGACTAAATTCAGAGCCATGCAAAAGAACATTATATCTACCCTTTCATTATGTTTGATGATCCAAAATAAAGTTCAGGATGAAGAAATAGAAATATACTTTCATAATTTCACTGAAATCACTTTATCACCAATCCTCTTATCTCCCTTCCATTGTCTATCATCGTTGTGGTCCATCATGAAAATTCCCCTTGCCAGTACCTCATTGTGATATAGAATAAGAATGCTTATTTGGTGAACATTTTGTTACCCTAAGCATATGTAGATGAACAATGTCAAACATGACAAAACATGAAAGAAGTATATTCCTATCGATAACTCTAAACACTAAGCATTCCCTTTTGTTCCCATTTTAATTCATTAAATAAGGAAATGAGTAAATAAGTGCCTATTTCTATTTCTAGTAATGGCACTATTGTGCTATAAACTATTATGCCAATGGAACTTCTTGAGTCTTTTATACACTAAAATTTTAATTGAAAAATTGCCAGTAAATTTACTTTCAGCAGAAACCTGTTTTTGAAATTCATAAGTACATTTAATTATGATTTTTGCTTTTTTATTAGTTAAAAAAATCTCAGCTATTTTGATCAAACCATACAATCCTATTAAAAGCCAGTTAGTAAAATATTGAGGATAATGGAAATTTAGTGAGATAAAACATTAATTTACTAGACGTTTCCTCTTTCTAATACCCTATGCTATTCACCTTTGAAACCCCCCCCTCCATACACATACATATTACATTCATCATCATACCTATATCTATACATATATAATATCTCTTAGGTCTCCTGAATCAACTCTATATCCGTACTTTCCTAAGATGAAAGGAAAAAGCTTCAGACTATATGTTTCTTGCTAGCATAAGAGTGGGAATAAAAACTATATCATATTTCACATATGTATTTATCCTGAAAAATGTTTTCTAAATTATGCTTGAGACCCAATAATGATTATAACTTCAAATATTCCAGGTTTAAGTGCTATGATGGAAAAAAAAATAATCATCTTAACTAAGAAGTATGATTTATCTTGAAAACTTTACCTTTACTTGATTTCCAAAATAGTCTGTAAAAGACAATTAAATAACAAGTCGGTAACATTTGTTGCACAAAATGCTGTGCTATAAACTAGACATAGTCACTGAGATTTTTCTTTTGCACTGCATTCTTCTGCTTTTTTTCTATTGCTTTTTATTCTTTCTCTCAATCTTTTTCTCTGTGTTCTTCCCTCTCTTTTCCTCTATCTCCCCTTTTCTCTTTTATACCATTTATTAAGGTTTTACAATATGCCAGATACTGGGCTGAGCAATTCAATATAATTTTTGTTTACAATCACCACAGCAACCAGAGGAAATAAGTATTTATCATTAATCCACTTCTTAATTTTTTATTAGAAGACAGTGAATGTTTGACATGAAAGAGAAGCCACCCAATTCAATGCAAATTGTCCATGGTAGAGTGGCAAACCAAATTCCAGCATAGTTTGGATCAAGTTATCCAACAAGAAAGTCTCATTCTTATTTTCTGAGTTTATTTTTAAGACAACCCTGGTTTATCTTTCTACTTCCAATCATTGTAAGCTGATTTTCTACAAGTTGTTTTTTACCTGGATGAATTAACAATATTGTTCTACTTAAAAGTCCGGGTTAGTTTAAAATTTTATTTTATTTTATATTTCATTTTGAGACAGCATCTCACTCTGTTGCCCTAGCTAGACTACAGTGGTATCATCATAGCTCACTGTAATCTTAAACTCCTGGGCTCAAGCAATCCGCCTGCTTCAGCCTCCCAAGTAGGTGAGACTACAGGCATGCACTACCATGCCCTGCTAATTTTTTTTTCTATTTTTGGTAGATACGTGGGTCTCCTTCTTGCTTAGCCTGGCCTTGAACTCCTGACCTCAAGTGATTCTCCTGCCTTAGCCTCCCAGAGTGCTAGGATAACAGTGTGAGCCATCGCGCCTGCCTGAAATATTGTCATAAACGTGTGAATGCATGGTTCCTCTTCTTGATATATTTTTATTCCTTGAAACATCTATTTCTATTTTTGCATTTATTTATTAAATTTTCCCCTACTATAGACCATAGGTGAATAAAAAATATGTAATGTCATTTTATAACTAGTATAAATTCAGAGTTTTAATAAATATGGTCCATGATGAATCAAGACTAAAATAACTATCCTGAACCTCACTAGATCAAGTCTTTTTCAAACCTTTCCACCCATGTGTTATCTATAAGAATTTTACATATTAGCAGGTCACTTTTGTTGGTTCATAATCCTATTATCATAAAATTCTCGCAGTGGTTTTCAGTGGGGACAGTACCACCATACTACAGGGAAAGTTGGCACATTTGTAGAGGTATTTCAGTTGTAACACAAATTGGGAGATACTACAGGACTTTTGTAATAAATAAATAGCATTTAACAGGCCAAGGCTGCTAAATGTCTTTTACAGCAAAGGATCGCCTCATGTCTTGTACAACCTTAAAATGTCCTACCAGATGTATACCACCTCGTGTGCGCAAACTTCATGCTTCATCATACTTTGACCAAATGTAATTCATTCCTTAGTCTTTTTACCCCAATTTCAGTAAAGTGGTTTTCCTCTTCCTTTTGTTATATAACAATGCCTCCAGTTAGTTATTTTCTATTCCAGTGGCCAGCTGTTCTGCTTTATTTCCCTATACTTCTTACATGAAATGACTTTTATTCTTATTTCTCATAAAACCAAACTTTCATTATAGCTGGAATCTGAGCATTCTCCTAACAATACATATTTTATCGTACACTCCTTTCCTTTCTTCTTTAAATTATAACTAGAGAATTACAATGATTTTTTAAATGTATATATACAGGTTGGCTATATTATCTATAAATTTTATTTCAGAATTTAAAAGGAAGTATCAAATTCTTAATATATAAAAGAAGAATATTGGACCTGCTAGGGACAAAAACCACTTATCTAATGTAATTCATGTGAGTATGATTTCAAATCATTCCCTATACTGGTAAACTTGAGGCTAATTCACATATTATTTCCACATGAAAGCAGGCAATGTAACTCAAGTGGCTCTATCTTCTTATATCTCAGAAGATATTATTAGCATGATATGATCTTTTATTCATGGTGATAGTTGGTTTTAAAAATAGTTAAAACGTGAGTATATTGCTTTATTAAATGTCGCACATGCATTAAATTATAATGATGCACCTAAATATTGACCCAGGTGTCCTATGCAATAGGCCAAGGAAGCTAAGACAGCAATATAAATGGATCCAGAGGGTCAGTGGGGACTGTGGTAAAGTTATTTAAATGCATCCCATCTCAAAATGACCCAGTCCCAACAGATTGTTGCCATGCTAAAGTGTAGGCTGAAAATTACCAAGTCTACATATTTTAACACTTTGACTGTCACACTAGCAAAAAAATGTCCTTGGGACCACAGTGTTTCATTATAAAAATAAAATAAAAACTTTGAAAACAAAATGATCCTTTCTAATTTAATAAAAAAGATGTTATTTTTTAGTGTCTTTTGTGTGTGAGTTATATGCAACTTGAAAAATAGTTCACCCGGCTCCCAAGGTGAAGAGATGTGTGAGTCACATATGCTTCATGCGGTTGTGGGCTCAAAAACAGTGTGAATTAAATACAACTCACATGGCAGTTAATGTGTTAAAAGATAAATTAGAAAGCTTAAAGTTTAATTTTTAATAAAAAACATTTCTTGGGCTAAATGCAACAAATCTGGGGCAAAGAGTACATACATACTATTATAATAGCTGACATGAAAACATATTAAAAGCTACTTGTTAAAGTAAACAGACATTTTAAACTATAACTCATACAATAATTTATTTGAATGGAAAGAAACATGTTGTTCTTTTGCTCTTACTGTTCCTATTTGGACATATTTATTCATAATGCATTAAATTATTTTGCTTCTAGAAATGATATGATATATGTTCAGAGGAAGATGTTGAATTGAAATATATGAATGGTATTCTTTATCTGTAGCCTGTAGCACTAATATTTAGGGACTAAGTAATATTATAAACAAATAGATAAAACATACAGTAAAATACTGACGTTTTTATTATAATTCAAAGAATACAAACTTTGTTATTTTCCCAGTTAAAACTAGCAGGTGGTTCTGTAAGAAAGGGGCCCAGATAATGTTACAATTTTCATTATCAAAATAAAATTCATTTAATAGCTTTTTTAACGGTAGCACTAACTTCCTAACTTAAGAGAAAAAAGAGAAAAAGAAATAAGCTCAGGAGAATTTCAACTTCTTGATTTGTTTTATGTAAGATTTTTTTAAAGGAATATTCATTTATGTTGTCTTGACTTAATCAGTTAAGAAACGGAATGAAGATTTTTACCTCACTCATAAATATTGTTTTCCTAAACATTTCTAAAAATAAGTCAAGCTTGCTGAGAAGTATGGATTTGAGAAGAATGTCCTGAAAATACATTTTAGCTTACATGCAAATGCATATTTTCAAATTTAAGTAGTTACCCAAATGTGGATTGTCCCCAACATCTAGTTTACTACCACTGCTGGTAACATGTAGCCCTTTCCTCTGTTGAAGAGCATTAGCGAAAAGTAAAAAACTCTTTTGGGTTAAGATGAATCAAACAGAAAAATCTAAAGTATCTCTTCAGCTTTGTCTACACTTTGTAAAATAATTTTGTACAAAAATTTAATACTGACCCATGAATACCAGTGACAAGGAAGATCAGATTCCCATTGATCTTGGTACAGTTTATGAATTTGTCAATGTTACTGGAATCCACAGTCTGAGCTGACATCAGTGATCCCGTGCCAATGCCATCACAAGCTGTAGAAACAAGATTCACAATCAGGGAATTGAGAAACTTATTTTTGGCAAATAAATTGCATTTTCATTGTATAAAATGCAGTATTTTTTCATTGTAAAGTGGAAAAAATATGTATTAAAAATAATGTTTTTCTAAAAAGTTAAAATAATAGTTCATTCATTAAACTTTTACTACTGGGCTGGCTTTAAAATATCGTCCCTACACTATAGGATAGTGACCATGACTCACTGTAAGAATTATATTTTATTTTATTTTATTTTATTTTTTTTGAGACAGAGTCTTACTTTTGTTGCCCAGGCTAGAGTGAGTGCCGTGGCGTCAGCCTAGCTCACAGCAACCTCAAATTCCTGGGCTCAAGCGATCCTCCTGCCTCAGCCTCCTGAGTAGCTGGGACTACAGGCATGCACCACCATGCCCGGCTAATTTTTTGTATATATACTTTTAGTTGGTCAATTAATTTCTTTCTATTTTTAGTAGAGACGGGGTCTCGCTCAGGCTGGTTTCGAACTCCCGACCTCGAGCAATCCGCCCGCCTCGGCCTCGCAGAGTGCTAGGATTACAGGCGTGAGCCACCGCGCCCGGCCAAGAATTATATTTTAAATCAATACCCACTATACACATACAACACATACATAACTCAAACAAAACCTTCATCAATCAATACTTCCCAATACTACATAAAATTGCCTATTTTCTAATCTATTCTAAAATATTATTTTAATGCTTTTGAAATGCTGGTCATGTTAGTAAAACAATTTTATGGCCTATGTACTAAGGGTCTACAACCTGTAATTTTAAAAACAGTTTTTAGAATGTACTATAAAGGAAGGAAGTTTGCCCTTTTCTAAGGCACTCTTTGATACTCTGAAAAGCTTAATAACATTCATGAGATTGGGACTGTACTTTTGTTCTGCTTAATTTAAGTTTCATTCTGGTCAAGAATTTGAGAACCCACGGCTAGAAGGGTTTCATTAAAATTCTTTCTCCACTAAAATTCTATAGTATGAATTATCTGAAATATTTATTTAACATTTATGGTAAACTTCTTTGCATTTTCATATATATTTCAAATTTTTTAAGATCTGGAGAGTAAAGGTCATGTTGCATGTCCCTTTGCATTTCTTTTTATGCTTAGCAGATCATTTTCTATACAGTGGCAAACAATAATATGTGTTGCGATGCTAACATAACCACATGAACCCTTGTTTTGTACAAAACTTCTAAAATTTGCCAGTGATCGAATAAAATGCAACATTATTTCTGAGTTGCTATCAAAGTTAACTCTGATTTTATCTGGACCATTTTAGTAGATATGAATGCAAAACTAATAATGCATGCTGTTATGACAATTGATACTTTGAGGAACTGTCCAAAAGTCATGGAAAGTGTTTGCAGGCAGATTTGGTTGTGGGAGTGGGTGTGTTCTCAGAGGCTAACTTCATTGGTCTATTAAAAGGTAAATTAAAAATCTTGGTATAGGGTCCTGTTCTAACCAAAATAATCTGAGCTATCACTCACCTTTTGGGCAAATATCAGTACATGGTTTACACATTTTAATACCATTTTCTTCTACTTCCATCTTGGAACTAGGGCAGGCACGCACACAAGAACTGGAATCTACCACAAAGTTATCTGATTTTTTTAAAAAAAAAGTAAAATAAGAAATGATGTTAATATTCAACAAACAAGTTTAAAACAAAATATTTTAAGGTTTTAAAATGATTAGCATCACTGATAGTGTACATGTCTCTTCCCCTAAAACACCTCAGCTTGAAATAGTATCTCCAACCACCCACATTCAAATTCAAAGGCAGTATGTGTTAACAAAAACTAGTGCTTGGCCATTGCTCCACATCCTGAATTGCCCCCAAGATAGATTAGATTTCTTTTATAGACTTAGGAAAGTACATGGCATTTAGTTTGTGTTTTTCAATAGTTCCACTTCATTTCATGTCATGATGCAAGTTTGATGTCTAAAAATACTTCATGTTCATGAAGCACAAATAAAGCTTAAGTTGAATTGCCCTGGATCAAGAAAGTACACTTCATATTTAGGAGGAAATATTTACAATGTGTTATATCTTTTAGTGGAGTGCCACAGATGTTTTCTCATATTTTTATACAAAGAAACAAAACAAAATTTTAAAGAGTAGTACCTTAGAAAAGGTATAACAAAAAGACAGAGAGGTTCTTATTACTTAACACTTGGGTGAAATGTTTAGGAGTCCAATGACCTGAGATACACCAGGACATCCCCTCTAAAATAAAGCATAAATTATTGTATCTAGAGCCTCCCTAGAGTTCAGGGAAAACTGAACACCTGATAGGTCATGCTGTTTTTGAGGGCAGCATCCTTCCATGCTTGGGATACTGTTATAGCATAATATAGAATAGGATGGAGGGCTTTTAGCCTTGAGGGGTGCCCAGAGGAGAAAAGGCATATGGTATAGATCCAGGCTATGGTGCAAGGGACACTGCTACTTGGATCATAAAACCCCAGAGGCTCTGTGATACCAGAAGTATCTATGGAGGGAAAATATGCCATGTGGAATTATGGCAAGTCCCAACTAGAAACTCACAACAGAGACCTCTAGGTTACTAGAGCTAAGCCATGCTGTCTGCAGCATTGGACTGTACACCATTGAACAAAAAGCTCCTGACATGATTCTGGGTCCTGGCAGAGATGGAGCACCTAACCATGGGTCACTGATTGACCTTGTCAACAGAATTGTCCATCACGAACAAAGTTTTGTTATAATGTCATATTACTAGCCAGGTCCAAGAGCAGTCCCTTGTGAGATGGAAGCAGTACTTTTGGGATTGATATGAGTAAGGGCAGAAGCACAAGTAAACTGCCTAAGCAGGTGGTTCTTGTTCCCATGACATCCACGAGGATGCTGGACCCTCTCACACCTATGAGTCAGCTCATATCTATGGGTACATGTGGGGCAAGACAGGGTAATTATGATAAGCTGACTGAGGATGATAAAAACTAAGCTTGGTATGTAGCTAGCTGAAAAGGAAGGGCAGATTTTCTGTGTGCAGCCTCATTTAGGAGTAGACTTGAAAGACAGTGGCAAGAGAAAATCCTACCAAAGGGCACAGTTCTGAGTAATGCAACTGATTACTCACTTTGTGTGGAAAGAGAAGTGGCCTAAGCTTAGAGAATTTATATGGACTCATGAGCAGTAGCTTGCCCTGGGAGAAGAAATTTGGAAAATCTGAGAAAAAGGGAGTCTGGGGTAGAGGGTTAGGTATGACTCCATGGGAGTGGGCACAAAGTATGAAGGTTTTTGTATTCCAAGTATGAAGGATGTTTTGTATTAACATCCAACAGCCACTCTAATCCCGTGTCCTCCATGTAGGTTGAGTATCCCTTATCTGAAATGCTTGGGACAAAAAACGTTTCAAAAGATTTCAGATTTTATTCAAATTTTGGAATATTTGCATATGCATAATGAGATACCTTAGTGATAAGATCCAAGTCTAAAAATGAAATTCATTTTTTATGTCCCATGTACACCTTACACATATGGCTTGAAGGTAATTTTATATAATATTTTAATAATTTTGTTTATGAAACAAAGTTTATGTACATTGAACTGTCAAAAGCAAAGGTGTCACTATCTCAGCCACCCAAGTGAATGATCTGTGGTTGTGGGCAACACCATCATTCCTGACTCTGAATTTATATGCTGCCAACAAGAAAATAATTTTCTTACATTTATTCACACATAAAAACTTAACTGTAAAAAGATATGATATAGCATATTAACAGTGAAAAAGTAATGTGTTCAGGATAACTAAACAGCACAGTAGCATCACCAGAATACCTTTATAGCTGTTAAACAACACTAACAACAAGAAACGATGGCAGGCTTTCAGTATACAGCCATGATGCTGGGTTTTGATTTTTTCAGGTGACAAGAAAAATGAGAAGCAATTGCGGGACCAGAGAATGGGTCCTGTAGGGATGATGAGACATTCTTCTGGATGGCTTTTTAAATGTTTCCTCCATCAACAATAATTTTTGTTTTAGAAGTGTCTCTTTGATTTTATAAACTGGTATGGTTTCTTGTTCTATTATGAATGTACACTTCTCTATTCTTTCAATAAGGCCATCATATATTTTCATCATGCCGTCTATAGACATTTTTTCTGCAGTGCTAAAAACATCATCTTCATTGACACTATTACCACGATCACTTCAATTCAGAACCATTTCTTCTATTTCATCATTGGTCAATGAATAAACAAATGGAGTCTCATTATCAGTGATAAAAAATTCTTTGATCTCTATTTCTTCTAGTTTTCAGACTGGACTGTAAAGGTGTGATTTTTGCATACATAAAGAGGTCAGACATTATTTTTTAATCACATATGGAATCCTTCAAATCATCTTTTTCATCATCATCACTGAACATAGCCACAAAGCCAGAGGTTGTGCCAGGTATGAACAACTTTGTCTTTAGTCACTGTATTCCAGGCACTGGCAACAGCATATATGGCATCTTTCGTGCTAAACTCCTTTTGAAATCCTTCCACACCCATGCCTGTGTTCACTGCTGCTAGCATACTGTTCAAGAATGTGTTTTTATTTTTATTCTTCATTGACCTGAAGATGCTCTGGTCACATGGATGAATTAATGAAGTCACATTGGGGGTAAAGTACATGGCATAAACATTATTTTTGTGGGAATTTAAGCTGGAAGATGAACACAATAGTCATCAAGGAGTAACAAAATCTTGCAGTTGTCATCCAGTCAAGCTTCCCTGTACTGAGCATGAGCCACTGGTACAAAATTTTTTATGAAACCAATCAGAAGCGATGTTCCTAGGGAGTCATGCATTTTTGTAGGATAACAATGGACTGCTAGAAATTCAGTTTTTGAAAACAGTGAGGATGCAAGCTTTTGCCTCTCACAAAGAGATGACATTTATGTGTGCCTACTGCACTAGCAAATCCCAGCACAGTTATTCTGTCTTTGGCATCCTTAATTTTTGTAAGAGCTGTCTCATCAGCTGTAGTCATTGTCTTTCTGGGGCAGTATCACAAAAACAGTGATGTTTCATCAGCACTATTATACTTATTCTGGCATCAGATTTATTAGCAATTGCGTTGGCAAACTCATCAATGCATTTCTCCACTGCTTTGTGATAATAGATGTTTTATCGCCATAAATCTTTAAAAATTTAATGCTGTGTCTTTTCTTAAACTTCTGTAACAAGCCTATTTAATATTAATAGTTCCCTTAAATTTTCAACTTACTGTGCTAGATCTTTGCCCATTTTATAAGCAGCACACAATTAAATGACTTTGCATGTGTTCGCCACAACAGTGATGGATACACCCTTTCTTTCTTTCTTTTTTTCTTTTTTTTATCTCCCTGAAGCTGTGTTAGATCCATCCTTTCAATACACAACCAAGATCTTCATTTTTAGCTTTATGCAGTATTTTTCAATTTTTTTAATTAACTTTTGTTCATCACTTTCAGCATAGAACTTCAATGGTTTATCTTTCTGGTGTTTCAGGTCATATATGGTGGTCATCCCAATACCATATTCCACTATAAGAAGTTTCACACTTATACCACTGGGACCAGTTTCTCTAACAGCTTGACTTTCCACAGAAACACAAATGCTTCTTCTTATTCTTATTACTGTTATCCATAATGAGTATATGCAACTCTTTTTGACATTTTCAACAATATCTTTATGACGCAGAGCAGAGATGAAGCAAAAACAACAAGAACAAAAACAAAAATATAGCAAGTAATGCACATAGGTCTTGGCACCAAGTAGGACATTGTGGAGAATCCACTGTTGGTGCACTGACATGCACCTGTGCCATTTAATTACCTTTTGTAAGTGTGCTTGCATGGAGGAATCTGGGCAAGCCTGGAAAAAATATATTATAGCTGAAGGGGTCTGATCTCAGGGAGGGTTTTCTCCCTTGGGGATGCTGAATAAACTGCGTGTTGTGTGCTGCATTTTGACTGAGAGCCATCACATGAGCTTGGGTGTGGAATTTTTCACTTGTGGCATCATGTTGCTACTCAAAAAGTTTCAAATTTTGGAGAATTTTGGATTTCAGATTGTCAAGTTAGGGATACTCAACCTGTACTTCCTATTGTATCACATACACAAAGTGAAGACTATCTGTATGCTGTAGATTGTAAAGCCTTCTTTTATGTGAGTATATGGAGAAATGTAGTGATTTTTTTTCAGCCTTTCCAATAGGTAAAACATTGAGGAAATGTCCCATTGGTCACTCAAAGAAAAGAAAATGTCTCAAGCAAATATAAAGATATATTATATATTATACTGAATATCTCATGAAAATTAAGCTGATCATTTTGAATCCCCAGAATGAGTTAACAATTTGTTAAAGATCCCTTAACATTCTCTTAATATATATTGATTTTGTTTAAGATTAGTTTTGATATTAAAATTATAATGCTATATATTCTAGCATAAATAAATAATCAGAAATCATTTTAGGTAAAACTTCATTCTTATTAGAAGCAGACCCTATTCATTACATAGCTTGCTGCCACTTAACTAATCATTTTTCTGAGAAATGCCATGATATGTAATAAAATTGGGACACAGTGAATATAAGAGTTTAAGAGTCAACAACCCATCTACAACACATTACAATAACCTCAGATGTGTCATTCCTTTGCTATGAAACTTTAGACCAATCACTTTAAATTTTTGGTTTAATTTTCTTATTTGTGAAATCGGAGTGATAGTACCCATACCTAAAGTAATTCACAATATTCTTACAAATTTTGAATTAAAATGAACTTACATGAAATTCCATTGATTTCAAATAATGGTCTAATATATTTGTTTTTCTCTTATTCTGTTACTTACGTGGGCATTTCTTCACACAGAATGCTCCATATGTGTACTTTGCATTGAAGTTGTGTTCCAATTGAAAGGTGGTTGGATTGTAGACAAAGGTTTGGGGACACTGAGTAACACATGCTCCACTGTCATTGAAATTCATGCAGGCCTGCAACATAGCCAATGATACTTTCACTTAACAAAGAATCTTTATAATGTTTGTTAATGAAACACTGCTGCAACACTAAGGAGGTTGTATTCTTTATTTAGTATGTAACAATCTTATAAATACTACAAAATTTGACAATTTTGTAGTAAATATTGTGAATAAATTTGTGTTTCTAAAATTTCACAAAGCTTTTTTTTTCCAATGGCATAAATACACTATTTATGGTTATTGAGCTCAAATTGCTTATCATCTATCCACTCATTTCAAAACCGAGAATTTGTTTAAATTATTAAAGTTAGTTAATGGTGACAAATTATTTAAGCTTACAGTTATTCAAAGCATTTATGTCTAATCTTAGAGTCTGGCCCTGACAACTAATTCCCTAATTCTACAAGCTAGACTTCCTTTTGAGCTGGTATTTGGAGAGTTCAGTGACTTAAGTGTCATGTTAAGTACAATTATCACCATTAAATAATAAAAAAAAATAAATAAATAAGTTAAAAAAAATTGTGATGATCCTTTAAACTGGACTGAAAGGGCTCTAGCAGGTGACTAGACAAGAATAAATGTAGTGTATGTAATGCCAGAATGTAAAGAGGTTACTAGCTATAATTAGCCTGTAATTAAATAACATGATGTCATTTCCCGTATGGCTTTTTTCATAACGTCATATTACTTTGTGTAATAAAAGCTACTACATTGATTTAAGACTTTATTTCTGCCAACTTATATATTTATATTAAGAACTCAATTTATTAGTATTTTTAAACTAATTTGAGAAAAATTAAAAAGCATTTTACCACCTAAGAATTAGGTATTTGATGTAAAAAGAGAACTTATCTATAAGTATGTATAAACACATGATTAATAAAGTATGGATGAGCTAATTCTTTTAACTAAGTAATTAAGCCTTTATAGGAAAAATTTAGGCCTTGGAATGTAAGCTAATGTGAACTCAAGCTATGATTTACATTTCATCATAAATTGTACATATGGTTATTAATAAGCATTAATTTATTCTGTTTCCTCAAAACATTTGCTTCATCAATTGTTGTTTTAGCAAGCACTTTATCACAAACATGACAATTCCCTGATGATGGTCTACTAGATGCATAATCAGAATGAGATTCACTTGATGATACATTATTCACTAAGATGACACGTTCTAGGAAGAATCTATTAAAAACCAATCTAGAAAACTCAGTAAGTTTTAATTTATGACTATAAAACTTCATGTGTCCTTATATAATTGGTTTACTAACATACTTTATGCGATGTTGTGCACAGATTGCTTAGGAAAAAAAGGAACATAAGTCAGAGGAATAAAACAAATTTACCTTTCAGAGAGCATACAAAACAAAGTAACTTACATCAAGGCCTTGGTCTGGCATTCCTGAACATTCTGTACCAAATGCCAAAGTGGAATCACTGGACCATTCCATAAAAGTAATGAAATGATAATTTGAAGCTACTCGGCACTGTGCTTATCATGATAATGGAACCATGAAAAAATGTAGTGCAAAACTTCTAAGTGAGAGTTTTTGCTATTGTTGTTTATTGTTGTTACTGCTTTGGAATTGTTAATGTGACACCTGCCGTGTTCAGTGTCTTCAAAATCAAGTTGCCATCCTGTTTCTGGTGATAGACAAGGGGAAGGTGCTCAGCTCCAGACCTGCTGAGTATGTTCTTTAAAGTTTTAACATTTTGACTTCCTTTCTTTCTTCCTCTCTATCCACATCTGTACTACGTATTTTTATTTCAGTATTGAATTAGGGGAGACAGATTAAGTTTCTTATGATATTGAGAAACTAAGAAATTATTATGTATTATCATGAGAACTTTATATTTTGCTTATTTCTGGAATTCTCACTTTGAAAAAAATGCTTAATTCTATTGTATGTTTGCTTGCTAGATATTTGAGAAGAAAAAATAAATTTCTGTATTCATTTTTAACTATAAAAACAATTACTTATTTTTATGATTTTAGCTTAAACATGAAACCAGTTTTCTGTGTATATGAAACTGAATTTACTATAAGTCGCAGAATTGTTTATATGTATTCCAAAGAACAAAAAGAACTGTATCATAACTATATAAAAATGTAATTAAAAAGTGTCCCCAACAAACTATAAATGTTAATTTTAAGGAAGTAAAAGTATTCTCTTCTAAAATAAAAATCATATAGATTAACATATAAATTGCTTTAAATGTGCATTTGTAAATCTTGAACTTTTAAAATATTAACTTATAAACAACATAAACCAAAAAATACTTAAATGCATAATTTTATCTGCTATAATCTTGGAATTTATATTCAAGAAATGAAATGCAATTGCCCCTACTCATCCGACTCAATGATGCAACAACATAAACAGATAATCACTGCATTTTCAGAAAGGATGCTATTCAATTCTAAAAAAGACATCTCAATATGTTCTCCAATAAATCTCATTTGTAATATAAATTATATCAGAAAGATACAATTTATTTAGTAGAACAGAACAATTCTAGTTAATCAATAGCCAACTCAGGGAAGGAATGACTCCTAGGAAGGCAGAGCATTTTTCTTAATCCTAAAATGGCTAAACTTGATCCTATTATAATAAGATATTAAAGAGTCAATGTGCCTGAATCAAAAAGGGAGGGGAAGGAGAGCAGGAGAATAAAAGGGAGAACTCCCAGACGTACAAAGCAGTCTGTGTCCTTAGGTCCTGAGCAGCCTCCAGCACATTCCCGATGACAGCAGTCACTGACGTAGGGCCCATAGCATCTGCCGTCACACTGTTCCGCACACACTGTCCTTGTCACTGCAGGAGACAGAGACGGGGCCTCGATCAAAGTCAGCCACCAAGAGAAACTCATAAGGTTATTTGGAATAGCTGAGAAAAGCTGAGTTATGGTGTAACAATATACTCAACCTACCATTGATTGAATTCAGCAAACATTTAATGAATGAAGTCTGCAGCTAGATCAAAATTATTACACAAAAATCTTCAAAGTTAACATATAATTTGTTCTGTTATTATATTCCTTCTTGTTTCAGCAAACAATCATTGTACTTTACAACAATCAGATGACTTAACAAGAAAGAATCCAATTTGAAGTAGGAGTAGGAGTAGTAGAGCAAGTCAGTTGTACCAGCTACTTGGGAGGCTGAGGGGGGAGGATTGCTTGAGCCCAGGAGTTGGAGGCTACAGTGTGCTATGAATGCTGTACTGCAACTGGGCAACAGAGTGAGATACTATCTCTAAATTTTTTTTTTTTAATTGAGATAGCTGAATAAGGCATTTGACAGGTTGGGAAAGGTAAAATCAATTCAAACAATGCTCACAGTTAAATTCCATGATAGAAGATCTCTCCAGAAATGGAGACTTTTAGTAGTCAAACCAAGAAAAGAAACATACACTTTTTACTTGATTTACATTATATTTTACAAGAGAGAGGAAGAAAGGAAGGGAGAGAGGAAGGAAAAGAAGGAGGGAGGGAAGGTGGGAGGAAGCCATCATACTAAACACAACAATAGGTTTCATTGGTCATTTCTTACAACATCTTTCAATCCAAGCTGACATCATCATAGCAAGTAAAAGTAAAATATAGTAAGTAAAAGTAAAGTACAATAAAAACAATGCTATAGCCTGCGATCAAAATTATAGTAATGAGGGACACAATTCTGCTTATCTCACTTATTCTAAAGAAATATGTTTAAAGTATTTAAAGTACAAATTTTACAGGATATATGTAGCATATCACTTCATGGCTTCTGTATTTCCACTTCAGCCTTGTTTCTTCCTATCTTTTTCAACAGTTTTTCTAAGCTTCCTTTGCTGCTACTTTATCAGGACTCTAAATATTAGTATTTCCCAGACTTGATCTTGACAATTTTGGCAGGGGCATTGGGTACATTCCTGGGTAAAAATCATTCATCCCTTATTTTGCATACTACTTATAGGTAGATGACTTTCAGATCCAGAACTGAATTCTCTATGTAGCTGTAGCATGTGTTTCCAGCTTTCTGTAGAAGTCCCCATTTAGATACCCCAAGGTGTACAAAATGGAATTAACTCACTTTCCCACTCCACCACTGAATACATTTCTCTTCTTTGTTCCCTCATCTCACTTGATGGAAACACCACATATTTCCAGTAGCTCAGTCGATATCTGGAATGCATTTTTCATTCTCCTATCCTTTCACCATCACTTCTCATACCTAATAAAATTGCCAAATACTAGCAATTCTGTTTCCTAAATATTCCTCACTACCTTTCCTCCTTTCTATTCCAACTTTGTTCAAAATTTATCTCTAAATTATTATATAGCCTTCTAAAAGTTTTCTTGGATGCCATCAGTTTTTTCCAATTAATCTTTTGTGCCACTCTAAAAGCAATGGCTTGAAAATATAAGCCATTGTATTAACAAATGTTGATTCATGGTGTGAAACTACTGGCATCCCTATTCTATAGGATTAAACCTTTAGCAAGGAATAAAATCTTCCATAAATTGACCACCATCTCTAGGCATCTCTTTACCCTCCCTCTGTTTCTTACATCCAGCAAGACAGAAACACCACTTGGGATTCCTAATTCCTTGCATCATATGCAGTTGTGATTCTTATTGCCTTTTCACAAGGCATTTCTCCATGTTGAAAAGCCTTCCTGTCTTCTCTGTCTAGTAAATACTTGCTCTGAAACTTTTCCAGACACATCTCCAAGCTCAATTATTGTCTCACTCTTGCTTCTGAACAAGCAAGAAGATAAAGTTAATGCAGCAGTGTATGTAGTCTGAAGATCTAGACTCAAATCCAAAGACTACCCATGAGATATAGGCAAGTTATTTAACCACTCTATATTTTACTGTACAATTTGTAAGATGGAGCTAGTATTAGTACCTGTCTGATAGGACTGAAGATAAATACAAACACAGGTATAAAGTGCTTAACATGGTCCCTATAAACAGTACTGAGCAACTGTTAGATATTTTTATTGCACTTATATGTTGTGTATATTTTTTTCATGTTTCCTTTCCCTCACTAAACTATGAGTTTATTGAAGTTTATTGTCTGACTAAAGTTTTAAGACTCAGTGATAAGTACAGTGCTTTGTACCTAGTGTATAAGTAAGTATCCCCTCCAAGTAAATAGATAAATCACATTTCAGCTCAGTGAAAGTATTTGCTGAGTGTTTAATGCACTTAACACATGGATAAAAAGATGCAGAAAGTTAAAGAGGTAAGGTCCTGAGAAGTGTAAATAGATAAATATGTAAAAACTAAGAAATAGAGCATATCAAAATACAAATAACTGGGAATTATTTTTAGTATCCATTATCAGATTTAAAGACTCCTTAAATACTGCTGTTGATTATTTCATAAGTTCACATTTTTATTTGGATCCTTTTCCATTGAACATGATGATGGTATTCATAAAATAATTCATAATATTTAAATATGAATAATATCCTTTCATTGGACATTATCTAATTACTCTCTAAGTAGTACAATCAATACAAACATCAAATAGAGTTTCTAAAACAGAATTTGGACTGACCCTCTATCATCTTTTAATTTCATGAAAATAAGGTTACTTGATATTTCTTACCATAGCCTACAAAATATTTTGAAAAGAAACAAATTTTATGGCCTGGATTTGTGAAGGTATATATTGTATTTGCAATTTGGGTTACATTAAATTTCACAATAAATTATTTCTTTTATAAAATATCTAGTATAAAATTCCACATAATAAATCAGTTTGGCCTACTCCTTTACCTTCTTTATGTTTTTGCTTAAATTGCACCTTTGTGGTGAAGTCTGCCCCTATTTAATACTGAATCTTTTCCAAACAACTTACTCTTGATGGACTTTCCTTTTCTTCCTCCCTCCCTCCCTTTCTTTCTCTCTGTCTTTCTTTTATTTCCTTCTTTCTTTCTTTCCCTTCCCCCCTTCTTTTCCTTTCTCTTCTCTTGGTCAAAGATTTCATATTTTTTCAGGACACTTTGATCTCAGATATTATATTCCATTTGAGGAACATATAAAAATTCCTCTAAATCATTATTCAAATACAAATACTTTCCAAATTTTTGATTTAAAGATATTAAAAAGGATTTATGAGGTTCCCCCCCAAACAGTCTATACTTAATATTTTTTAAAGTAAGTTACATTAAACATTAAAAATAGATTTTCACTATCAAGATTTTCACATGCCTTAATTCCAAATGAATATTCAGTAAGCATGAAACATTTGGAATCTGATGGATAATAATATAAGCAAAAAGAATAAAACAGTAAGCTTAATCTTTAAATAGTGACATGATAGAATTCAAAAACATTTCTTTACATTGTTATATGATATTGTTTTCATCAAGATATTTCCTTTGCACATATCAAGGCTTCATGCAGGACAAGTGAAACAGTATCATCAAGTAAATTTATTTAGTAGCATTTTTGATTAACAAGCATCACTTAATATGAATAAACTCATCAAATTATACTCATATTTTATTATAACGGAGACACAAAATAAAACATAATTCCTGAAATCAATGAAATACCTCAGCCTCCAAAGGAGCATTAATTTATAATTGTCTTGGCTTTTATTAATTTCCATTCTTGCTCAAATATTTCATTAGAATTTTTTTCCCTGTATTTAGTATCCTTTCTAAATTAATTCACTGGGTACATTAAGAAATTTGGGTTGAATTTTAACTAGCTTATTCTTTGGTGGTACACCACTAAATGTTATTGTTCAACATAAGAGGTAAAACCTGGGAAGTTAAACTGCTTGTTAAATTAAGGTCAGTGAACCTGACACTAGAAACAGAGATTCATTCAATATGTCCATGAGAATCAGATGGGTTAAGTTTAAAGAACCAAACATTTCATGATGAGGGGATACTGCTGAGAGACTATTCCCTCAAAAATTTTTAAAAATTGTAAGTAGCTTAATCTTATCACTATCTCACTAATAAAAGCAATGGCTTAATTACTTCTTTAAATATAATGATAACCAATACTGTGACTAAAGTTACTACCTTAGAATAAATGTATTTTATTTTAAGAAGCTTGGCAATTTACTAATCAAACATGTACTGTTACTTCTGATGAGTAACAAAAAGGACAAAGAGCATTCATAAATAATGCAAAACAGCACTGACATCACAGTGACAACACAAGAAGATCTCAGTTTTCCCATTAACAAAACAAATAAGGCTAAATTTAGGCAGTCTTTGTGTCTTCTCCCCATGTTTTTACACTGAGGCTTCCTTCCTCTTCCTCCATCTCCTTACTCTTTCCTTCTCTCCTCCATCTTCTCTCTCTAGTGTCTTCGATTCTCTTCACTTCTACCCAGTGTTTCTGAACCCAGGTTGTATATTAGATCATGTCACATGGTCTTTCAAACTTGAATGTGGGAGTTCTTGTGTAAATTCAATTTTTGATTCAGTATCAGTGGGGCCCGAGATTGTGCATTTCTAATAAGCACCCAGGTAATGTCTCTGCCTGCAGGTCCACAGATCCCACTTGAGTAACAAGGTATAGAGTGTTTTTTAAAAATACAATGCCTGGAAATCAACTAATTCCTATTAAATCAAAGTCACTGACACTATTCCAGGAGCTTTTATAGTTTTTAATAAGCTCCATAGGAGTCTAGAGCTGAGATCCATTATTCTAACCAGTCAAAATAGGAAAAATTTTCTGTCATTTGCACCATTTGATGGATAGACTGATTGATTATTCTTTGTCAGAAACTTAATCACACCAACCTCTTGCTTTAATTTCCTATTTGTCTTGTTAAGCTCTCTATCACTAATTGGGA